CACTTGAAGAGATGTATTTCTGGAAATACTATTTCGAATGAACATGCAAGAAGAAATGAAATTCTCCAAACTATTGATAGAAGGGAATTTCAGATCTGGCAATATAAACAATACATATTACAAAAAGAAGCTAAAATTAATCGTCTTCAGCTAGAGCTTTCATCCCAATCTACTCCACATTCAGAAAAGGATAAATTGGCATCGGTATCATATGATATTGATGGAAATTTTACGGCTAGCTATGAAAATTATGCACAATCTAAAGCAAAATATACTATGCCAAATGCTCCAAATTTCGAGCCAGCTTATATTTCACCTACTAGACAAGAAATGATTTTACCAACTTCTTATCAATCATCAAGTTCTAGCCAAAGGCGCTCAGAGCAAGGGATTACAAGTGAAATATTTATCTCATCTCAGTATGCTAAACAAAATAACTTATTACCATCTATAGACCATCTTAATCAGCCCACATTAAGATTGAGAGATGGTACAAAAATCACATTCGTTTAACGACTGAGAAATATATTAATTATAGACTATTGAAGATTAATATCATTTAGCTAAAAGCGCAATGTATAACTTATACTTTATTTTTTATGCTAAATAATCTGCATATATGATAGCCTAGTAAAATTGGTTGAAGGCGCTATACATTTCATGTATTACCTGCCAAATTTTCCAGATTAGTCTTTAACCCAGATCTCGAATATTGCCTTAATAAAATAATATATTGTCCACACCTTATGGCCTAGGCATGTGTGACATAAATTTTTGATCCATCTAGCGTGTCTCTTCTTATTTATAAAAAGGCCATAAATGTATTATTTGTATTATAATAAAACTAAACCTGGTGGTCTATTTTTTTGAAATTTCATGGAATTCCATTTTTTTGCGCCATGTATAAATATATAATGGCATTTAACCAAGCATATTCTGAATTGCTAGCTAAGTTACCAGCTTCCATAATAAATGAGGCATGGATTCGTCTCACATCACGGAAGCATAACCCATTATCTGAGAAAGAGGCCAGTGAAATTAATCCAATTGTAGAGTCATTTTTAAAACATGAAGCTATTAGATATCAGAAAAGATTAATACGCCAGAGACGAACCCAAAGTTGGCCAGAATGCCCGACATCGTTCAAAAAAATACCATTTATATTTGTCTCAGATAATGATACTCAAACTGATAATATCACTTGGCCGGAGGCGCTAAAGTATGATCACAAGGAAGAGAATAATCGCCGGGTTATGAATGAGCTTAAAGTACTATCCCAGCACCTGCTCGATTATAATAAAAGAACTTTCGAGAAGTTCATGCGAGATGTAAATCTAGAGTACAATGAGTGGGTTAATACAAATAAGAAAATGCGCTATGAGATCAAAGATCTGAAGATGTAGGTGCAGGAGGCGGAAAAAGAGCTGGCATCCATGAAGTCAGATTCTACTCGTCCAGCTTCAAAGGAGTAGCCCAACCTAGTCTAATCGCTAATGGATCATCTATCGCCTTAGTAAAATCAAAAACTATAAAATTCTGATTTCGCAAATGCTTGTCAATAATCTTGGATGTCTTTTTCGGATCATCCGTATATTGACGCACAGTCGTCGGGCTGGGTGTGGGAGGTGCAAGCACCACCCACCTCCGGGTCTACGACCCGTCGCAGTACCTCCTTCCCCCTACGGGGGATCAGGAATCCCCTATATCTGTCACCATCTGTCAATAACATCAGTCATATAACAATATACTAAAAAAGGATAAATAAGGGAAAAGAGAGGAAAATACGATAGAATCAGAGGGGTATGACAGATATGACGGATATGACAGACGTTTCAGAAAAATCGGGAGAGGGGTATCCCCAGAAAAAAGTTTTGATTTTACCCCCCAGATCTGTCATTCTGTCATAGTTATGTCATATGATCAGGATTCCGTCTAATAATCTGTTGGAAGCAGTGAGATAGCAAACCAGATAAGTTAGCAGGTAAGCCCCTAGAAGGTCTATAAAGCCAGTAAGACCAACCCCGTCCCGCCCCCGTCAGAAAAAATAAGTAATTGAAAAATGAGTATTGAGAATAGAGCATATCCAGATAAGTTTAGAAGACAGTACTAATCCGTCTTCCTCTTTTTTGCCTCCTTAAGGCATTTATCAATACACTGTTTACACGCGTCATCAGAATCTAAGATTTTCTGTCCAAGTTTTTTGCATTGCCGATTGTAAGCCGTCTGCTGTCTCTTAGCAGCGGTTTCTTTCCTTTTCTCCTTAGTCTTCTTCTTGATCACCCAGTCTATTCCAGTAAAAGTATTCTTATGCATACCACAAATTGTGCAGTCACCATGCAGCCGGTAACGCCCATTTGTAGTCATATCTTGTATTTCACTAGCCGTCTCAGTTTCCTTCTTGCACTTTAGGCAGTAAAAACGTGTCATTTTAAGATTTGAAGTCTAAAACCATTCCTTTAATTTGTCGTAATATGTCACACTTAGAGAATTACTATAAGTACTACAATCTCTCCAGAATATCAGCACGAATTCTAAAAGGTGAAGAGCACTACAACCTATACAAAAAGCCCCTAAAGGAAAAGTCAACAGAACGCCCAAAGGTAATTGTATGGAAACCAAATGCAA